TGGCGTGTAAATAGGCTGTGATATTATAATCAGACAGTGTCAACAATAACTAGACGAGGGAACTACTTAAACTTGACAGATGCATACTCCTTTCGGAACGGGCACAAACGGGTACCCTCACGATAGCAGCTACAAAAAAAGTCAAAAATCGCTCCTTATCTCTAAAGCTCTTTTTCCGAGATTGAATATCATTCGTTCACGAGATAATATATTGCACAATGCTCTATGATGCTCGACATCATTTCATAAAATCATCCGAAATATTCAGCATGACTTCCATTCGACGATAAAGGAGCAAATTGACCGGGCTAACTATAAATATGCTGATGTACATTTTGTAAATGAAAAATTTTAATATTTACGAAAAAAAATTATCGACTAAGTATATTAAAAAGTAAGTAAATGAAAAATTTGAGATGAACTAAAAATTCTGTGTGGGCAGAATACAAGGTTTCTATATGTATCAATAAATGGTAATCAACAATTATTTAGAAAACAACTCTGCATCGGTAGTGGGTTTCGTGAAAATTAAACAAAAGTGCGTGTATATAGATCTTGATCCAATACACAAAGAAGTTAAAGTGGACGCAATTCATCGATGTCTCGTTATAACTATACAAACAAACAAAAACAAGGAGCACGAAATGACAGCGGTGCAATGCACACAAACGCGGAGCTCCAATGTGTGTGGGTACACTGGAATGCATTTTTAATACGTAGCCTTGCGGTACTTTCACTTGGGTATAAGGATACGTATCCTATATGCATGTGAACACATACACACACACGAGCACGCAGGCATAACTATACATGCACGGGTACGAGAGCGCCTCATCCTTGGCTACTCCATGGGATTTCAATGCCTAGGCATTTTGCATAACTGTAAAATTCAAAGGGTTCGATTTTGCCGTGGTTCGCGTTGGCAAACACACATACCCCCGCGCACGCATACACATGCACGTAACGCAGAAACTGCACGCTTCTATGTATAAATAAAATCGTTGTTCCTACCTGACGATCCGTGAGGCTCGAAACGCTGGGCATGCAGGAGCTGAAGCACGAGGCTGCTCGATCCTTGTTGTTGCAGTCTACTCGGCCAGCCGATCGTCATGGCACTCGCGCAACAACGACTCTCCATGCATAGTAGATGTGTACATGCACATACACAAACACACAAACACACAGACGTATATAAAACACAGGATGGGTAAATATACAACTTCACTGTACGATGCCAAGAGATCCCGTACCACCACGGATCGTCCACATTTTCGCTGCAATGCGCGAGCACGTTATCCTCGTTATGATTTCTATGTGACACCACTTATTCGACGATTATTTGAAACGATGCAACAGAGGCACGAGTCGACGTAGGGATTTGGTTGAAAAAAGTAACGTACCCGTCGATATCGAACGACAAAATTGTTTGAACTTTGGAGCACTCGCGGATTCCTCGCACACCTATTCGATACTTAATAAATGATCGGCGGGCAAAAGTGCAGAGAGTTGTATCGAGGTAGTACACAAAAAGGTATTGGCTATAGGCACGCGCGCGCCAAAGGAAACGCAGAAACTCGCAGTTCTCTGTATTATATTATGTGGTGGCGGGAGGTTTGGCCCGCGCGAGGGGAGAAGAGAGACTGCCGGCGAAAGGTAAGCCGTAAGGTAGAACAACCCAATACCTTTATACATGCACACGACGCGCACACAGACACAATCACAGAGACTCCGGGCACGAGAATCGCGCGGCACCAACGAGCAACAATATTCCTTCCCTTCTTGCTCTTTCTCTCTCTTTCGTGCAGCATATACACGCTATATGGTGCTTTATAAGTTCTACATGCAACTCTTTCGAGTGTGCGTAAACAGACAACACACAGACACGACGATCGCACACAATCGCACGAGAGCAGCTATATGCGTGAGACGCGCGCAAAGAAGGGGCATGATACAGTCCGTGTCGTGCCTACAGATACCGTATATCTCGTGTGTATATATACCTATACCTATAGGTACCCAACCGAACTCGCTTACTCTCTGCGGCCCGATCTTTTATTCTCACGTTGTACTACTGCGTGTGTATAAATGCGACGCGCTTGTATACTTACGCATACACTCGCACGCCGAGCGCACACACGTATTTATGCATACAAGATATAGAGGTGTGCGTGCGTGTGTGCGTGTCAGCGCCGAACGCGATATTTTGTACGTGCGGCCTGCCGTTGAAAATCGTCTATGTTCGAGCTCGTAACCGATAAGCCGAGATTCGGAGTTTCCATGCTGCGCTACGACACTCGCGGAACTCGAAAATTTTGAGAAATGAATGTGTACACGTTGAAATCGGAGTCACTGCTCATTACCTGGTAGGGCTGTAACCTTCGAAGCTCAACAACAACATTGTTATATTCATTTTTTCTTACTTTTTTAACATCATGTCGTGGATGATAAATCACATATTTATATCTTGTGAAATTAACTCGATCGATGATCGCTGATGCATCTTTATGCAATGCAGCAATTATTTAGACATATGAATCTCAATATTGATGAAGCCAAGAACGAGACGATATCTTTGAAAATCTAAATTCTCCTTTATCGTTATTCTTAATTCAGAAGATTGACGATAAACTGTAAAAATAAAGAATTGATTCACATCATTTACGATGCGCGCATTGTTCCGAATGTTCCGATGGTAAAATAATCTCGGTCAGCAAAGTACTGTAGCTACTCCGAAATCACCGCGAGAGGCAGCACTCGACAGCGTCGAAAATATCACGAGCCTTCGTGAGAGTTTTTAAATCAATGAGACAAAAATCTGATTTTATCTCGACTTCTTTCAGCAGCGGGCCCTATCTTTTTCTCAAAATATCACTTGGCATAGATCGATAAAGTGCATTTATCGTAATTTGTTTTTTTAAAAGAGTAAAAAAAAAAAAGGAACCCAAAATGAATAAAGCTCAATGAGGACTGAGAATTAAAAAAATGCTTGAATTTTTGAAATATTTTAAAAGTTTTTTTATTTAAAATAAACAAACACAACTCTTATTTTCTAAATACATTACAACAGCTGTAATAACATTATAAAAATTTCTATTTACAATCGTTTAAATAATCTATTATCGAACCTTCCTCTTTTTATTTTTTCCTGAAAAAGATTTTTTAAATTTAGCTTTTTTGTCCAGATCATTTTCGAAATCGTTATCAGTTTGTCTTTGCTTGCGGCCCATTTTTTTATCGTCAATCAATTGAGATTTTTCATCGACTAATAACTTTTGAGCTGCCATCACATTTTTTAGCAGCTCATAACATCTTCTTTTTTGTGTGGATATAACTCTAATTTTTTTTCTATCATTTTTTCTATATTCAAAAAGAGTTCAACATCATATTGAGATGTGAAGGTAACAGAAAGACCTTCGCGTCCAGCTCTAGCCGTTCTGCCAACTCTATGTATATAATCTTTGCTGTGAGTAGGAACATCAAAATTGATGACTACGTCAACATGTGAAATGTCTAAACCTCTGCTGGCAACGTCTGTTGACACCAAAATTGGTCTATCCTTTGCTCTAAATTTATTTAAAGCAGCAATCCTTTTATTTTGTAGCATTTGTCCATGTAAAGGTACAGCCATGAATCCTAAGGCACACAGAAGTTGAGCAACTCTCGTAGTTCTTTCACAAGTGCAACAAAATTACACTTACACTCTTTGTTTTTTCTTTCTCTTTCTCTGACTGCCATTGAGATAGAAAATATGCCAAGTATACTTCTTTATACTGACCAGGCATGAACATATAGTAATGTTTTAATTTTTCAACAGTTTGATATGTTGTTGACACTTCAACTATTACTGGATCTTTTAATGATGCTCTTTGTAATTTATGAACTTTCTTTGTCATAGTGGCTGAAAATAACATAGTTTTTCTTTCTTGTGGAACAGCTCTTAAGATTGTATTCAATTGCTTTTCAAATTCATTACTTAAAAGTCTATCAGCTTCATCCAATACTAAGTACTTTATAAGTCTGAGGTTAAAACCTTTTGTTGCTTTTAAATGATCAACCAACCGACCAGGTGTAGCAACAATAATATGTGGTTTTCTGTTCAATTTAAGAACTTGCTTTTTTATGTCTTCACCTACAACAACGACAGCTCATCGAAGACCAATTATTGCTCCTACAGCGGTAAACTGTTGAGAAATTTGAACAAGTGCAAAGTACCTTTGTGGATTTTCTAATAATGATTGTACAACAGGCAATGCAAAGGAAGCAGTTTTTCCAGAACTTGTTTCAGCTAAGCCAATAATATATTTACCTTCAATAGCAGGAGGTATTGCTTTTTGTTGAATTAATGAAGGCTGTACCCAATTCAAATCTATTGCAGCTTTCACCATAATATCATTGAGTCCCAAGTCCTTCCAGGTAACTTAATTGGTTGAAGTTACTTCATTCATTGAATTTTCTTCGTTGATTGAATTTTCTTCATTATCCGATGGTTCTTGCACGTCAGACATGATGAGAGATTAGTCACACTGTTTATTTTTATGTAGGACTGATAATATTTATTTCTATACTACACACACGTGTTCGGTGTTGTAAACACGAGGTCGGCAATGCGTGAACTGAAGCGGACAGATATTCTTAGTACACGTTTAGGAATTTAAGCGGGAAATTTAAAACTCTCTTGATTTTCGAAGTTGATAATTTTGAAAAGATTTTGTCTTTTATTTAGAAGTAATTTTAATCTTTTTAAATATTTCATGTTTTCGATATAATTCTTTTTTAAAATAAATAATTGTATAATTTGACCATCGTTTACATGTAGAGTTTATTTGTTTACCATTTACATCATTGAGCATGTGTAGAGTTTGTCCAAGTAAAAATAATTTACTATTTAGACGCTCATGTAGATTTTGGTTGTGTAAAATTAATTACTGCTATTAATCACAATGCTCTATAATTTTTCTGCACATCAATGATGTACCATTTTATGGTGTACAATAATTTTACAAACATAAAGAAAATATTTGTGTAGAATTTGTTTTTGTGCATTTTATTCAATGTGTAAAATTCTGCGGTGTAAAAAGTAAACATAGCAAATTTTGGACGGTGCCAATCCTTTCACGCAGGCGCAATATCTCGGCGCGGATCGTAGTTTCTTCGTTCCCTTGACACGCGCTTTCATAATACTGCGTCTGTCAGTGGCCGTACAGTGGCTGCAGGCGGAGTGTATGAGTGTGTACCTTTGGCCACTGCCTCACACTCGCACACACACACACACACACTCATACGCATCGAGTCAGATAGTGCACAGTCCAGGAGAGAGTGAGAAAGAGATAGAGTGAGTAAGTGCGCGGAGTGCATGTAAAATCGCAGCTGCTGCTGCTGCTACTACTCGCTGCCATCCAGTCAGCGTTCAACACTCGGTGCCTCCTCTGCCGCGGCCTCTCGCAGTGCAGAGCAGCAGCCTGTGCACGACAGGGCCCAGATGTCGCCTCCTCGCAATTCAACGGCGGAGTTTCCCTTAGCCACTGTTACTTAGTCCTGTTGCGTCCAACTGCAGCAGCATCAGCAGCAGCAGTAGTAGCAGAAGCACTGATCTCCGTCACTTTTCTTCACGAAGCTTATTATATATATATATTATATAAAGTTTATGTGCGTTTCATGCGTCTTGTTTTCTTTCGCTGCTGCAGCGCGTCTCGCGTGCGGACGAGTTTACGACTGCACAGTGAAAAGATAAAAGAAACAGTGCGAAAATAGAATTGTGCGTGCGTACGTGATACATATCTACACGCATACATGTACCCTGCAGTGTGCGCGAGTTTCTCTCTTCAGCTAGAATGCAGAAACTTGCAGCCTTTTCGTCGCTTTGTCAGCGCATTTGCAGCTTATAGGTAAGATCATGATTGAAAAAACACACGCTGCTCTCTTGTACTCATATTGGGATTATAATGCATGACATTGACCTTACGTCGTTCTTCTTTGTGTGTTTTCTCTCTCTCTCTCTCATACTCTTTCACTGTCTCTCGACTGTTTTCGTTTCTTCTTTGTCGCAGTGATCACTGAGTCGGATTGTTTACCAATACGACGCTAGCTGTCAAGATGACAGTCGCGCTCGGATTACGCGCTATTAAATTTCTGCCTCCTGGCTTGCGTTTTCCTGCCTCGTCAAGACGAGACGCGGACGAGAAAATGCCGTCTCAGGTCGATGCAATGTTGTATCACGTAACTCCAGCCGTCGTCGCGCGGGTCTGTGCATTTTCTCGCTGTTAAAAATAGCCCCGCCGAGTATTCGCTGAAATATATATCAAGTTTTTGCTCCGCCGAGCTCTCTTGTACATTCATCGCACAATAATGTACAAATACAGGCATGCACCACTTGCTTTGCAGAAATCAATGTCTTCTTATCTTTGCTTATAAAAGCCCTCGCTCTCTCGCTCTTTCTCTTTCATTCAATCTATAACGTTCCATCGATTTTTTGTAGGATTAATTCGCGATGTGCTCGCTAAAATAACAATGATGCTTTATTTGTATCGGCATTAGGTAATACATCGCACGTGTGCGTCCGTGAGTAAGTGTGCCAATATCTAGATTTAAAGTGAAAACTTGATTGCCTCGCGGTTCTAATTGAAATTTCTTTGTATGGCTTCTTTGCTTAAATACTGTTTTATTCTCAATCGTTTCAGTATAGCAATAAACTTTGTTGTTGAATGTTCTTCATTTACTAGGCTCGGTTATCATTGCAATGATTGTATAACAGGCAATCTATTGTAATATTAGTATAGATGTAAGTTGACAGTAAATATTATTTTTATGTATGATATATTAACATGATGGCATTCTTTTACTTACAGATAAACTACTGCAATGCCAAAGTTGCCAATGATTGCTTGAATCAAATTTCAAAGTGCTAAAATGCTAGCTACGTAGAGCATTACACCAATTATTTGAAAAGCTGAGCCAGATATGGTTTTTAATACTGCTTCATTCGTGATAGATTATGTTCCTGAATAATTCTTAAGCTTTTCATACGCAAAAAGCAAAAGAATGGAGGTAAATAATGGTGCTGCTGGAAGAAGTTCCATATACCTTATGGTACCATTTCGCAAATTGTGCATCATCACTGTCTCAATACCCATTGTCACTTTGTTGTTTTGCTTTGTGACAGCTTATATATACCAACAAGATGATATTCACGAAACTCATTGCAGAGTAAGATATTTCATAGTTACATTTACAATTAAATAATATACTATACATAATTTTTTTTTATTTTAGGTGTACAATGTTCTTCCATCAATATCAGCCATTACTGGAGTATCGCCTCAAAGATATTTGTGGCGTGTTAGCATAGCTCTTCACATTGGTCCACGACTTTTAATAGCCAGTGTATATTACTCATTTTATCTTAAAATTCTCAAGTCCATTGAAAATGTGCCTAAAAGGTTGCAAGGATTGAGATTGTTAAATCTCTGCTATTGGCTAAACATTGCAGAACTGGCATCTTTATGTGGAGTTACTTACATTTCCAACAAAGAAAATTATGGTATAAGAACATTTTAAATTTCATTTAATCGTTGATTTTATTTAAATAAAACTTTAAAATGACCATTAAATTTTCCAGCGGTGCATGAAAAAACTTTTATAAGTTTTATGATCACTTCTCTGCTGCATATGTTGGTTGCTGTAAGGTTGGGTCGTCTCGCTACACCAAATGCACAAAGTTTGCAGTACAAACAAGCCCTTTTTTCAACGAGCCTGATAAGCACTGTTGGCCTTATAGTCTTCTTCTTGAAGCATCGGTTATTATGTCATGATTTGGGTAAGATGAAGTTACCTATGAACTTAAATTTTAAATGAATACTAACTGAAATAATCATGTTTCTTCCACAGCATTCAGTTGGTTTTCTCTTTGTGAATATGTGCTAGCTTCAGCCAATTTGGCTTTTCATGCCACAGTAATTTTGGATTTTCCAGTTGATCAACTAGTTGTGGGAAATAACTTACATCTTATCAAGGTGGACTAATTTGTAAAAGATAATTTTCACCATCTTCAGATGATTTTATTTAATCTACTAGATTGCTGCACTTTTGTTTACTTAGAAATGCTTAAAAATAGAAATTATAAAATTATAAAAACTTTTGCCTATAATGAATAAGCTGTTACAAAAACAGATACAGGTGAAAGTCAGGATAATCTTTGGTACTTGATAAATACTAATAAAAGTGATAGCTTTTACCTATCACTTATATATTTATAGCTAAAAGATAAATTCATCATATTTATTTAAAAGAATTTCATATTATTTTGCAAGAGATTGTTATAAAGTATAAGGTAAAAAATTAAAGATACACGGATATCACAAAATTGTATATTCTAGTCGAATTTGTTATTCTAGTCACAAGAATTCTCAAAAGCATCTGTTTTCAAAAAATAGTTTGTTTATTGATCATTGATCTCAAGTTACTCAGGGTTTTAAAAAAAATTAATTAACAATCGTGTATCATATCATGATAGTTGTTGATCAACTTATAGTATTTAAAATTAAATAAAACGAAGCACAAATAATACATAGAATACATAGAAGCTGTTAAAGTATTATAAGAAACTAAAAACTATATTTCGTCTATTGATTTATTCTATTAATTTCGAAATCAAATTCTGATTGATATTATTATTGTTAAATCTTCTCGAATTAGAATTTTTTTGCAAACTTAATAATTATAGCACTGGTGATAAACTTTAAAATCTTAAGTTTCCCATACTCTTTTTAGATGAAAAGAGTTTCTGAACACAGACTCGAGCGTGTATGTAACGTATTGTACTATAGTACTATTTCTTAAATGATAAAATAGATTGAGATCATTTTTATCGTATATGAGCTCAATTGATAAATGAGAATCATAAAGCACTTGAAATTTGGTGATATCATTTTTGCACCTTTTTACATATATAAAGTAATGTAGAAAATTTTGATATGCTTTTAAAAGTTGATCATTTTATTCATTTTTTCAATTTTTTGATGGAGATTATTAATTTTACATTTTCACTACACATTCTAATAAAATAATAGTAAGAAACAATATATAAAATAAAAATACTGTAAATGAGATAACACTTAATACATGATGATTTGTTGATCAAAAATATTCATTTGTTGCTTTGATCAGATATTTTTAAAACTCAGAATGAAGAATTGTTTTGTTTATAAAATCACTACAATGCGTTACACATTTTATTAAAAAAACTTGTTACTTTAATTAAAAGTTGTAAAATGTTAAGAAATTCTAGTTTAGAAATTGTACATTTTATGTAAATTCATATGACTATGTATCTGTAATCAAAAACGCATCGATAACTGTCGAGTACTTTAAAGCGTCAGATTCACGAAATAGGTGCCAAGCGATGCACGAGAGTAAATATAAACGTGTAAGTTAAGTTTTTAATGGAGATTTTTATGGTTTTACCATTTATATATCAAATTAAGCAACAGTTATTACTTTTTTTTTCATTCCAGATGGTACCTAAATTGTAAATCTTGAATTTTCATTTATGCGATTATAAAAGTATATTTTGGTTTTAGAGTATTATGATAAATTCAATTATTCTATTTTATAAAATCTGTATAAAAATTATAATGCTTCCAATTTGTATAGTTTCAAATATATTGCGCTGTGTTAATGCAATTATCAATATTTCTGTAAAAAAGTATTATTATTTGCTTTTAAATGCTTGCAAATTTGTGTTTTGCATAGTAAGGTAGTTTTTTTTAATATATGTGTCACATCGATTTTTTTTCTCGATAATTGGCTTCCATATTAGTTCTAAGAATTTTTGTCTTTCAGCCAAGTATATTAAAATGTAATGTATTATTTTAATTATTAATAATTATTTAGTCGAAAATTGTTTTGTATTGAATATAATGAGCTTTGGAAATAGTGTTTATTATGCTTTACAATGAATGTGAGATAAGTTCAAGCGTCAGAACGTCTAATCGGTATTTATCATCGCTTAAAGCGTAACAATAATGAATATTTTTAGCGAAACAAATGAATAATTTTCATTCCGCACTTATCATGTCGCGCAAAATAGAGTAATCGTTTTCTCGCACGCTTCTTCAGAGCAAAATATTATCAAAGATTTATGGGTAATGTGAAAATGATTAAACGACAATTGATATGAGTTCTCATATGCATTTTGAATGATGTCACCAATTGCATGAATCCAATTGTATGTTAGTGCGTATGCCGATGATACATTTATTGCTATGTGCGTCGTACAAAAAAAAATCATTTAGAAAATTATGCGAATGTTGTAAAGATAGGAGATATACTTTATCTCCAGGTTGTGAATCTTTAAAAAAAGTCTACGAAAACAAAAAAAAAACGTCTATACAGTACAATCACCGAATGAAATGTTATGTTTTTAGCGCGATCTTATACGATATATCACCAAAAGTTTTCAAAGATAAACCGACAGAGAATGAATGGAGATTATATAAGGATACACAATAATAATAATAATAATAAAAATAATATTAATAAAAATAATAATATTGCCTATATGATTCTTTTTTGTGAATTTTTTACCGCGCAGTTATTTTCAATATCTCGATGAATATATTATTATAACGAAAATAGATTGTTTTATGATTATGGAATAAAATCGTGTAATTGTTAAAAACAATCGTTTTACTTTCCTGTAGCTGTCACGAAAAACTTCATCGAATCTATACGTACAAATGTATATTTGTAGCTTACCTTTCAGAATGGAATCGATGAACAATTCAGTCGTCGCCGACGTCGTATCTTCCATGCGTACTCCGAGCCATGACGCAGAGAGCGACGTAGAAACGCGAAACGGATGCTGAGAATACCGCGAATCGGCGCGTATAACTTGACAAGTGTCTAAGTCACGATGTATAATATGCGGCGATATGCTGCAGCATATATATATTGGTCTGATACGAATGCACTCGATGTCCGTCTAGGTATACTCCGGCGCGTTCGGATTCAGACACGTAAACGACGGGAAAATCGTCCAATGAGGCGGCATCGTCGTCTTAGGGTATGCGCTCTGTACATCATTGGGCTTCCGATATGTTTCTCTATCTTCAATAACTCGACGACGAAACTGACGAGCTTTACAAGCTCCTGTCTGTGCGCCGAGCAGCGATGTCACGAGCACACGACATCGCGATACATGTACCTGCCGGGAGCATCCGAGAGAAGATTGTCATACCTTTACCAGATGTTTCGAATAATATGCTTTCTTACAACAACAACAATTGCGATTCAATCAAATTTTCTATACCCTTTTTACAAAGCAAAAATATATATGTAACATTAAATGGCCAACGAAGTTTTGAAAAAAATCAATCACAAAAGATAAATCGAAATAAGTTCTTAAGTTTTTTCATTTTATAGTTTCATAAAAAATTATTTCCAGTTGAAAATTGCAGTTTAAATGTGTTTTGTTAAAACATTTCAACGAAAATAAATGAGATGTGGCCATTGCACTGCTATATAATATTCAACACGAAGAACGAGCTCGATAATCGAGTCAGGCAGTTATTGCAGTGCATCGACTAATATCCATTTAGATCAATTAGATATGAGCAATATGGCAAAGCTGACGCATTTGATAGAAATTTATGATCTTGCGTTGATTTGATTTGTTAACCGATACACTTTCTTCGAAAAATTTAGCCAAGCTAGTCCAGAGCTTGAAATATTTTCTTTGTTAATTTTCAATAAATTTTTCTTAAATTTCATCGGTTTTAATGCTTAGTAATCTAATTTAATAATGATCAATATAAAAGTGATTAATTCACATCGAAGCACTTTTCACAGAGACGATGAGTGAAAATGTACTCGTACATGTCAATGTGTGCAAGAGAAGCAAGTATTTTTCAATACTCGTCTCGCAGCAAAAGATTTTCTCCTCGCCATGCGAATGAATGAAAATACCTGTTGCAACGAGAAAAGTGTAATTTTCCCCGGCGAAATTTCTGGAATAATCGAGAGGATGGACGACTGCTGCATTATAGTCAAGCGCTGCCATTAAAATGTAATATTTGTGCTCTGCCTCGAGTTCGACGATGCCTTTTTTTCATACTATGGATTTATATTCCTCGGTGACCAGGTGTGCAGTCTAGGAAAGGACGGACTCTTTTCTCTGTCGAGCTGCTTATAGTAGAGTCGAAGAGAGTGAGAGAGAGCCCGCTTGCGCGCGGATTCTTGTCCTCTTATGTATTCGCTGAGGAATCCAATGAAAATATGTCGCTCTCGCGTTCCAGACGCGCACTTCTTAAAGATATTCCGCGCCCCGGACGACGTCGAGAGAGAGAGAGAGACGAACTATCTTTTTCAATATTATACACGCTGTATCACAATATCTCTGCTCGTCAGTAGCTTTTTTGATGTATATGGGCTGATCTGCAGAACGTAGCCGCTTTAGATCAATTTCGATCCAAATTTTATAAAAAACTTTGCCACTTTTTTAAGTGCATTAAAAAAGAATAATAAAACATGCAGCATAATCAAATTTTAGTAAACGACTTGTAAGTGGTAGCGATAATTGTAATTTACCCGCGAAATTGTTAAAGTAAAAGTTTACATTATGCATTGTAGAATTTTTTAATGATACAATTATTTATTATTTATTATATTGTAAAAATAAATTTTTACTCATAATTAAGCTTTAAAAAAAGGGAATTATGCCAGTGATGTCTTGAAATCTTCGTATTCAAGAGAGGAATATATCATTTTAAGATGGTTTACGTTTTTCTAATTTTTCTCTTTATTATTAATTCAATTATTAAAGCGACGAAACTTGAGTAACGCAAGTACAACCCGTTGTATGCATAGGCTGCATAAAGTGCCGACCTCTAATACTTCGAAAATGATTAACAAACGACACTGGAAAAAATTCAAGCTGATTGCATAAAACTTGGAAAATGAACGCCTGAATCAATATTTTGATTTTTTTATTATATATCTGTGGTGGAAAGGCATAACGACTTAAGTCCATTTTTCGTGTTTTCGAGAAAAACGCGTTTTAAGTTGATTGTGCCAGCCTAACTAGACGCGGACGAGTTGAGGTCTGAACCTATGATGTTTTAAGCTACTATGAGGTAGCTTTTGACCTATGTACTTATGAAATTGAAAGGCGCATCATAGCGATGATACGGAGCAAAAAATATGGACTTAAGTCGTTTTGCCTTTCCACGCTTTGCACTTAAGTCCACTTTTGGCAGTCACACTTTTTTCAGTATCGATAATTTCGCGCAGTTTGTGATCATAACCTTATTTAATGATTTTATATTGATAAAATAGCTAATTTAACGTTATACTAGTGTCAGATCTCAAGTCTTGCAACGAAAAAAGGCCAAACTGAAAATCGCGAAAATGACCCCTCGCGTATTAAATGTACCAATTGTATAGTGAAATTCACAACATTCGAAGAATGTGAGAGCTATTTATATGTTTGAATATCATTTTCTTTCATTTTCAAATCAAAGTAGACTCTCTATAATATTTTGGAGCTCACAAAGGTGGACTTAAGTCGTTTTGCCTTTCCCCAGTTTTCACGAAATGGACTTAAGTCGTTATGCACAATGCTGAAACTAACGATAGAAGCTATATTCGTCTATTCTGACCTTTGTACCTTAAAGTAGACACTAAATATAGGTGTTTTTCATCATAATATCGATTTCCAAAAAAATGGACTTAAGTCGTTATGCCTTTCCACCACAGATATACTCAAGTATGAATTTAGAAAAAATCAGTTTTTTCTACAAATATGTATTCTAACGTATGCTAGCCTGCCCTAACTTATTAAGACACTGAAAAATCGACCGAACATGAGCTGCATCATGGCAACGTGACAAAGGCCAGAACGCCTGCAACGTTTTTTGGATTTGCCCATATACGCTGCGAAAGCTCTAGCTGCTGCTGCAGCTTTAGGCATTCTATCGCGCCTCTCCCTATCTACCGTCGAGAGACGAGAGAGAG